TTCCTATTAAGGGTAGAATAGACTTTTTGCTCCCAAAAATTTTTCTATTTAAAGAGACAAGTTTCATTTGGCTTAAGCAGAAGTTTACAACCTGTGTACTCTCTGCTATCTAAAAACCCTTTGAAACCTCCCCTCTAGAAAAATTTTCAATCCAAAAATATTCTACAGTAGAAATACTCTTGTGAATATTTAAGATATTCCTTTGTTCTTTAAAAGTTTTTATTTAGAACTTTAGGGACTTCCCGAAAGGGAAATCCTTAGTTGTAAATTTCTAATATGAATTTATAAATTTATGATTTATGTTATGATGTAAATATTTTTATGTTTATCCATTAAATATTTATTTTGTTTTCATTTCATCCTATGCATATAATAAAAATATAACTTGATTTTCAGAAGCCATACTGTTTTTAGATTAATCCTGAGTGACCCAGATAGGTGAAAACTGTTGGCCGGAGTAAGCCTTTTGATGTTTTCTGAAATGCCGGGGAAATGGATAAATTAATCTAGAAATTTTTTAAGGGAGTGCCACGGGTAATCTTAAAAAGGAAAATCATGTTCAAGTTTATATGTTTTAGGTGATGAAAAAAAGGGGGGATTTATAGAGAATTCTTAGAAAAAATTACAATAAACTAAGGAGAGTACTGAGTAGGATTAAAATTTAATTAAGAAAAACAGCATTTTTTCAACAGCCTTATTATAACAGCAGTTTTAACCTATTTTTAACAGTCCCGCCCCCTCTTTTTGTATATATATATGGAGATAGACGAAAAACGTTTAATTTATCAATATGTCCTTATATAACATTGTCAACATCTTTATTCAAAAGATTATAAATTGCATGTTTCATTAATGTAATAGATAATATAATTATTTAAATATAAAGAACAATAAATTGAAAAGAAAAAAATTGCTTAAATGTGATCAACAATTAGAAGAGAACAAGTCGAAGATGGGAGATACTATCTATCAATATTAAAAATCATACTAATTACTATAAATAATTGGAAGTTACTTACACTTTTCATATTTGTATCAATTTCACTAAATACAAGATCTCGATTACACAATTTTCAATAAAATTTTCAAGTATTAATGAAAATTAATATTATGTGTTCTAAAAAATAATTAATATAGTATTGAATATTTTATTATTATTGCATGATCATTTTTGTATAAACATAAAAATTGATGGTAATCCAGTTAATTATTAGATATTAATATATAAAGAAAAGAAAAAGATTTTTATCTTGATACATTTAAAATGAGAATTTTTGTTCCTCCATTCATATTAATCCCATTAAAAAGAAAACAAAAACTTTTGTTTTTGAGATTTTTCACTTTTATATCCATTTTGAAGGTAAGGTTGGTTTTTAATTTAAAATAAATATTATGGATTTTTTTTAGCTAAATGTATTTTAGATAAGATACTTTTTTTTTGTTTTTACCTTTAAGGTAAAAATGTTTATGTTACAGACAAAATGAATAATTTTTTATTTTGAAAATCATTTATGTACCTTTAGTTTACTTATAAGTAAACATTTTAAACTTAGTTGAATATATATCTTTGAATTTGATTCTTCTTCGTGACCGTCTGTACCACAAAGTTGGTCGATGTTGCTATAATGGTTGAAATAGGGTCCAACTAATGTCTAACATAAACAAATAGGTAAACAAAATATTCAACATTTAAAAAATGGGAAATACCATCAAATGGCTACTACTTTTTAATACATTAGTATATTGTGAAAATTGCCACATTTAAATGAAATTATCAAACATATTATCCATGTCAAATTTACATGACATTTAACAATTTCTTGTAACTCAATTACTATTTTCCCCCCCTTATTTTTTCCCCCTCTTTCTATCTCTTTTTAAGGGTTTGTTTGATAGCATTAAATTCCATGAAAAATATTACATCTGAGGAATTCATTTTCTACTTTGACTATTTTTATACGAAAGTAAAAATGAAGTTTGAATTTCAAATTACAATACTTAAAGCATATTTTTTGCCGAGTGAGTGGAAATCGAATTTCAATGGTTTTGTTGGTTTTTTCTTTTTCAACTTACATGGAATTGATTTGTCAATCTTTACAATCAAACGAACCTTAATTTCTTCTAGGAAGAAGTATGCCTAACTTTCTATTTTTCGAGACATAGTTATCCGACTTCATTCGAATATTGACTTGACCAAGTCACTAGATTCAATGCTTAGTGGAAAATTAAAATTTTTAAAGTAATTTTTTTTTATCTCTCGAGACAAAATTAGAGATTTAGGCCCCGTTTGGTACCCATTTTTTTCAAAATATATTTTTCTCTCTTTTCTTTGCAACCACACATTTTTTATTAAAATAATATTACACATAAATGAAAAATTTTTCCTTATTTTTCAACCACACATTTTCCATCAATTTACTATTTCAAAATGTATTTTTACACAAAAATGACTCCCAGACACCCTCTTAGAGTAGTGTATTCAATTGGAAATTTTAAAAGATTTTAATGAACTTTTTAAGTGATGACTTATGTAAATTTTGTGGATTTTTATTTTTTATTTTTAGATTTGAATGGAATTAGCGGAAGTATAAACTTCTATTGACTTTCATTTTAAAATTATTATAGACTTCTGTAAAATTCAAAAGATTTTTGAAAACTTTTATTTAAAGCAGAATTCATGTGGATCTAGTGTAATAATATAAAATTTTTATATACGAGGGGTGATTCCCACAATACCCTTTCCCCTCCTCATATAATAAAAAATTATTTTAAAAAGAACAAAAATTAAAGATTTTAATTAAATAAATAATATAGAAAATCAATATATTTAAATTTAGTTATAAATTTGCCATATGAAATTTTATAATTTAATTAAAAAATATATTTTTCACAAAAAAATAATGAGAAAGAAAAAAAACTATAAGAATTTAATTTAATTTTTTCATAAAAAAATAGAGACAAACTATATGTATGTGAGAGAGAGAGAGAGAGAGATAATCAATAGAAAAAATAAATTCTAATTCTAATTCTAATATTCGTGGAAAGAAAAAGAAAAGAGAAATATTGAAGAAAATACATATTACATATATTTTTTCGAAAGTCTCCCAAAATTTTGGGATTAATGAGAAACAAATTTTGAAATATTATAGGAATACTTTCTATTTAAAAGTTAGTACCCCAGAAAAGTCTATATAAGTCATTAAAATTTGAATACCCCGAAATTTATGAAAATTTCTAAAAAGTTTTAATTGAATACACTGTGACTTTTAAAAATCTATAAAATTTCAATTGAATACACCAATACTTTTAGAAAATCTAAAAAACCTACATTAAATATTCCTAAACTTTTTAAACCTCAAAAAATCTTTAAAAGTCTTAAGTGAATACACTCTTCTTAATGTATATGTTTTAAATAGTATATATGCCCTCGTTTGGCCTACATTAATATTCATTCCATTACATTTTATTTTTCTCTCTCTCCTATTTTTAATCACACAGTCTTTCATAAAATAATATTACATGTGAATCGAAATTTTTTCCTTCTTTTTTAACTATTCATTTTTCAAAAAAAATATTATTCCATCCATTTTCATTTCTACAAAATAGGGGTCAAACGGGGGCATATATATATATATATATATATATATATATATATATATATATATATATAAAGACCGCTAATTATTTTTATGTCTATAAATTGTTGGTGCTGTAGACTTATTTTTTCACTATAATGTTTACAATTTAATCTTATAGTTTTGTAATAAATGAAATTTCTAATAAATATTATCCTCATTTTTGTTATGTATAAACATTTTATCAGTTAGATATCAAAGCTCGTTAGGCCGTGGGTAGGAGCGGATTAGAAAGGTGGAGTGGAGAGAGGAGTGAAATTTTTTTAAATTCTTTTTTAGTGTGTTAATATGCATTTAAATCCTTTTAAAGAAATTTATATTTATTTTTCGAAAAGTTATGTGACTCATTTGCAATTTGTTCTTATTTCTTGTATTTTATGTTTTTTTTTTCCTTCTTTTAGTTAATTAAAAAATGGCAAATTCCTTATTTAATGGACAAAATGAAGGAAGTTGCGAGTTTTTCTATTGAAAGATGGGCGATAAATTATATATAAAAATTAACAGTATATTTAGCCCTTGTTTGGTTCCCATTTTTTTCTCATTAAAATGAAAAATATGATTGTTATGCATTACATCAAGTCACCAGATTTGAATTTCTATCTCTTGTGTGGGACTCGTAACGACTATATTTTTCATTTTCATTCTTTCAAAAATGAGAAACAAACAAGGGCTTATTATATTTTACATAGATTGGGGATGAAAAGTATAAGAGCTTGTTTGGACTCGATTTTTTCACTCAAAAAATTGATTTTTTGAACGTTATTTCACTATTCCAACCGTCATATTTGATTTCTTTTTTCACAGGTGGACTCTACTTTTCTCCTAACAGTCAAAAAATCAATTCTCAAAATCACTCACAAACAGACTCTTAAGTTTTTAATTTATAAATAGAGAGAATAGAAATATGATTAAGCTCCTGTTTGACAATGATTATTTGAATTTTTTTAATATATTTATTTTTAATCAGACATTCACACAATAAAATATTTTATTTTTAAATTTAAATTTTTTTTATTTTTTAATCATATATTCTCCTAAAAATTATTATTTAAAATATTAGTTTTCTTCAATAATGTTGGTCAGACTGGGCCTAAAAATGACGTTTGAATGATTTATAATTGTGGTAAAATGGAGTACAAAATGGAGGTTAATCGTAATTCAACGAAAGTCAAAGCCAATCGTCCTAGTCAGGGAAAGAACGTTCTAAAAGAATATGTAATCACAACCGTTGAGTCATGGCGCCCATCCAAAAACAGCACTTCAGCCGTCAATTGAGTTCACGTTTCGGAATTGCGCCACGTGTCTCCGTACGCTCACCCCCCGCGCGACACGCCATTAAACTCGATTTGGAATCCGGGTTTGAAGTCCGCACAATAAAATCCCACCCGAGAGAGAAAGTGAGATTTTGGTTCGAAGTGTGAAACGTTGACATGAAGACAGAGTGAGCTGTGTTTCGATTTGGAGCTCCAGTATCTGGAACTGGAAACTTTGCTTAAATTTGTGTGAGTTTCTCGTTTCACTGGAATTGTGAATTTCTGATGCTTAGTTGTGTGTATTTCTGTTTCTTTTTTGTAAATTTGAGGGTGAAAATTTGTCTTTGGAGGTTAGGGTTCTGCGAATTTTCAGAATTTTTTATGTTTTTACTGCTGCTTGAGTTGAGGAAAATCTTTTGGTTTTAGGTAATGACTGCGGTGAGATACTGTTGGCCTTGTTTGGGCTTGTAGTTCTCTCCACGACTCCGTGTCCTAGAATTCAGTTTAGATACATGTAATTCACACACACACACACACACACAAACACACAAACACTTACTTGCCCACGTAGGAGTAAATTTATGCATAGGTTTATATTCGGTAGTTTTTCCTTTTATTCTTCTACAATTTATTGATTTAGTATTCTGGTTTGCCAATTAAATTTTCAATATTATTCTGTTTCTTTCTTTATTGATTAACGCAGTTTAGTTTATCACAAGGGAAGGTTTTGTTGAAGTTCCGAACTGGGAGGTCAATGGGTGAAGGAGAGGTGTCTGAGAAGCCTGAGGCAGCAAATGTGAATGATGAGGGGGTGGAAAAGATTGAGGCTGTGACGGAGAAGAATGAGCAGCAAAATGGAGTGACAGAAGTAGTTGAAGATAAAAAGGATGATGGGAAACTTGAGGTGCAAAAAATGGATGCAGACAAAGAAGAGATCAAGGAAAGCAAGGGAACTGAAGAAAAAGAAGTGGAGGAGGAAAATTTAGCAGGGGGAACCAAAGAAGAAGGAAATGAAGATACAGGAGAGGAAGAGCTTGGAACCTCAGCAGATATGGGGAAGGAAGCAACCAAGAACAAGGCAATGGAAGATGACTCTGGGGATATCCGCAAGGAGGAGACAGATGATAAGGTTGAAGAGGGCGCTGGTGGAGCAAAAGGGGAAGAAAAACTGGAAGAATATAAAGAGAAAAAAGGCTCGAAGAAGCGGCCTAGAACAAAAAGTAGTGCTGCAAAAAAAGTAAAAAATAAGGTGAATGAAGCTGAAGAGAAGAAAGAGAAGGATCTGAAAACCTCAACTGAGAAAAAACCGAAAGAGCCTAAAACCCCTATAGAGAAAAAAGAGCCTATAAGCCCTACAGCTTTTGCTATTCAACGTCCTGTACGTGAACGGAAATCTGTAGAAAGGTTGGTCGCCATTGTTGAGAAAGATACTGCTAAGGAATTCCGAATTGAAAAGGTGTGCTTTCTGAATTTTTTCCTGTCTTATTTTCACTCATTAAGTGGATTAAATATAATGCTGCAATACATTCATGAAGTTCATTGACTTTATCTCTGAAGATTTACTTTGTGACGTACCAGTGTTCGTTTGCAGGGTCGTGGAACTGCACTGAAAGATATTCCTAATGGTACACTTTTTAAAGTATTTTGATGCCTCCACTTCATCCAAACATGTGATCAGCTTACTTTTTCATGTTGCAATTTGTCAAGAGTTCCATTAATATGATTTTGTCATGGCGTCACCACACCACTTCTTAATTACACTTCTTAGTAAACCTGTATAATGAGTGAATTTAAGTTTTTGGGATTATCTAAGACTGTTTATGGGGTAAAATAGAAGTTGAACGACTGTTAAGATTTATTTTGATGCTTGATGCACCTTGCTGGCTTCGTGCATTTTTTCCTTGAATTCTGGTGCAGATCATAATGTAGAGATAATTTGACCAAATCGCCAATCAGAGTAGAAGAGAGTTCACAGACCCCTTCAGAAATACTAAATTACTACCAAATAGCACATTAATCAACCAAAACTTATGTTTCTCCGTCCTGTGTGTTGTGTCAGATTTCATGGCCTTTTAGAGTAGCTTTTCTTTATCTAATTATACACACTGATATTTGGGATTAATCTTTTATAATCCTACTTCCTATGCGTTTCTAGCTCATCAAATCAATGAGCTACTTTATGGACAGATGAATGCAGCTACTCATCGAAGATAGTCAATAAATCTTGTTTTAAAAAAATTGGGGAACTCTCTATTGCATTTGTGCTAGTCATTTCCTCTTAATAGACAACCTCATATATGGTTCATGGGGTTCTGGATAAATTATCCAAGCTCGCTGAAAAATGGACAGGTCCAATGAGTATTGATTATTTGTTGCTTGTTTTTGTCTAGAGTCAGCTAAGATGAGTATACACTATATAGAGGAAGGCAGGCCTTTAAAATGTGAGAAAAATAGTATTGGGATGTGATAATGGATTTGAATGCCAGCTTGGGTGGGCAAGGTTTATTTAATTCTCTTTCAAATTTTACTTCCTCTTCTAACTTTGAGGTTTGGCAGGTATTGAGGGTGAGTTTGGGGGCTAATATACTGAGCCAACAACAAAAAAATGCCGCCAATAGCATGACATATATACGTACCTTATGGGGTTCTACTAACTGTCAACATATTAAGCAATACTCTAAAAACTTAGGCAAGAAGCGGCATTTCACTTTTTCTATGTGGTGGATTGGGCCTTGTATACCAAGGGAACAAGTCTTCTTGTTTAAATTGAGTCCATGAGGACCAGAACAGCAGGTTCTATTACTTCTCTCCATGCTTTCCCTCATGCAGTATATTAAAATCATGGGGCTTTCTGGTCACTGGCTATCAATCTATTGAGAGCCACCTTTGTAACAGCAAAAGTTGTGACCAGGATATTCTTTGATAAATTTGCTCAAATAAAATTATGCCCTTGTTGGGATGACTCTTCGAAACACGGTGAGAATATCTTCCCCCCACCCTAGTCTCATCTGTAATCAAAGTTAACTCCTGTGCTTGATTTGTTTTAATTTTGAGTATTATGTTTCTTCTGTTCCATTTGTACTAAATCTTCATTTATTTTATTGTAAATCAATTTTTCAATGATTTCAGTTACATGGCTGTACAAACATTCTATTGTTTTCTGAACCACATTTGTGTTTCAGTGGCATACAAATTGTCAAGAAGGAAGAGTGATGACACTTCCAAGTTGCTGCATACTATTCTTTTTGGACGGAGGGGAAAAGTAATGCTTTGAGTTCATAGTTAATATTCTGGTGTTCCTTTATGTTTCATTTGGGTCTAGAATCGTTTTTCTTTGTCCACAATGCAGTGTTCTCGTCAGTTTGATAATCAATTCACGTTGAAAATGGCTGGAATTTTCATTTTCCTTAAATTTTAAGAAAATATCTCTGGTGTGTCATGTCGTGCATCTGAAAAACTTTATGGTTTAAAGTTGTTAAGCATATCGTGTCTTCTGATACCTTAATGCGTTTTGAATATTATGGTACTATTACCAAAGCAAATAAGTCACAATTAGTTTTACTTGCAAACATTTGGCTCCCTAAGTACTTAATTTTTGGACCATTTTCTTTTTTAATTGTTATTTTCTATTATTTTTGTTTGATGTTGACATTGAAGTTGAGTTATATAATCCTGAGTTTTGCTTAAGCAAATGATGTTAGCAACAATATTCACCAACCTTTTGCCACTTCCTGCCAATTTACTTTGGTATTTAAAGTAAATTTGGTGCTCCTAATGTGCTTTTCTGGCAGCTATAAAATGTTGATATGCTGTAGTTGGGTCCATTTCATGCTCTTGTTGATAACTTCCGATATTTGACTCATGCTTATACTTCTGTCTAATTATGCAGGCAGCTGATATCAAGAACAACATATCTAGATTTTCTGGATTTGTGTGGCATGATGATGAGGTAAAGAAGAGATTATGTTTAGTTATCTAGTGATTGTACAATATCTATTTATAACTTCTTTGAAACATAGGCATAGCTCAGCATTTTCAACATGCGTGTCTTAGGAAAAGCAAATGAGGAAACTAAAAGAAAAACTTGACAAGTGTGTCAAAGAAAAATTGGTGGAAGTCTGTGATGTTCTCGATATATCAATTTCCAAGTCTACTACAAAGAAGGTATGCAGAGATCTCTCTGCTTCACATTAACCTGGAAATTATACATTTGCTTTCTTACTTCTTTGCATAGCACCTCCTCTCATTGCACATTTCTTCATATGTGCCTTTTTATTCTTAGATACACTAGTGCATTTGTGTTGTAGATAAATTTTTAACAGTATGGTACCGCTGCCATTTTATAATATTTATGGGATGTACCATTCCTCTCCTTCATTTCTCTGACTACAAGATTAAAATTCAATGTCATTCATCATGCATCCAGGAAGACATGATCGTGAAGTTGATAGATTTTTTGATGGATCCTCGTGCAACAACCACTGACTTGCTTGCTGAAAATGAACAGGTTCAACACAAAGTCCAATCTTTCTTTTTTTTCCTTTTCGCTTGGCTTTTTTATATTTACAAATCTCATGTATGCCAACCAGTCGGACAAGGAAAAAAAGCGCAAGAGGTTCAGTAAAAGCAGCATATCAGCATCTGGGAATGCATCTTCAAAAGGTTCTGCCAAGGTATTCCCTTTCTTGTTAATTGTAGATTGGACAAATTTTAGAACGATAAGGTTGGAGTAAATTATCAAATTCTGGCATTATAATCTTTATACATCACTGTCTGTAGATTTGTACTGTGGGTGTTGTTAGTTCAATCATATAAGAAAATAAGTTAGTTCGAATTTTACCCGGTTCTTGACTGACTCCTATTATGGCACTTTAGCGTGTGTATATGTAGATATTGAATGTAGTGTGTCCCGTTGCATGGGGTGAGTTGCAAACTTGAAGCATTTGCACTATTTTGTTAAAACTGTAATATGTGCGAGGTAGAACTTGCAATGACAGTGGGATGTGGTCTATAAGCATATAAATTGATAACAAATTATGCAACACGAAAATGTCTAGTCAACCACAAAAGTCAGATAAGCTATTCAATTTAAGATGAATAGGGTGCTGTTTGATTCTGGCAAACTATGCTTCTAAATTCTCCTCTTTACTTTGTAGAACATGGTTTGGAATACAGCATGCGGACATTTCCATTTACATGTTTACAGGGAGAATAAAGTCAACATAATTGGGATTCAGGGTCTGCCCCGAACTCTGAAATATAGTAAAATAAAATTAGAGAGGAAATGATGCCAAATGAATCCTCTGTTTTATATGGATAGAAGCTAGCACAAATCATGGAGGCTATCTGGGGTTCCATTTGATGTTCGGAACTCTCACTTTATAATTTGGCTTTTGTTTATTATAACTTCGCCCTTTGTAATCTTTCTCGCTTTAGATATGAATACAAATAAAAAATGAAAGCACGCTTGCTTATCATTGACTATATATTCTTCGTAAATGTAATCTCAGTGGTCAATCAAAGAAATCACAGTTACTAACATCGTGGAAGATGTATTGGACTTCAGATATTAATCTTTATTTCTGGTGTATTTTCAGAGTCAAAAGAGAACTGAGAGTGCATCTGAAAAAGGTGGGGAGAAAAAGAGCATGCCTGAATCTGATGACGAAACAGAAGAACAGAAAGATGAAACACATGAAGAGGAAACTGTTAATGGTGTTACTGAACGATCTGAAAATGAGATGTCTGATCAAGGAGAAAGTGAGAAGGAAAGCGCATCCGAAGACAAGTCCGATGAGGACAAAGGAAATTTAAAGCAAGGTAAAACAAAGTCTCCAGCAAAGAAGGGATTTGCTGAAAAAGCCAAAACTAAGAAAGTTACAATCTCTAAGAAGGCTACTCTGCCTAAAAAGGCACCTGCAAAATCACCATCAAGTCGCTCAAAATCCAATAATGATACAAGTGCAAAGAATTCTTCGGGTAAGAAGAATAATGAAGCAGTTAAGAAGTCATCAACTCTAAAGAAATCTGCGTCAAAGGAGACAACTGGTGAGAATTGTGGTTTATTTTTCTTTGATTGGACTATATGGTTGCAAGAGAATCTTGATAGTTTAATCATTTACAATCCCTAAATCTGAACATCCTGAACCGCCCGCTTTATGGCTCGGACCTTCTGTGAGGGCCTTTTCATGAGAATCCATTTTCTAAAGCTTTCTTGTTTCTGTCCAATGAAGGGAAGAAGGTTGCGAAGAGTAAAGGCAAGTTCAAGGAGGACAAAGTAATCCCAAGTGACGATGAACTTAAAAATTCAATATGTGAGATTCTCTCGGAGGTGGACTTCAATACGGTGAGGATATGAAGTTCTCTGTTCCATTGTCAAATGGTTTTTGATTTCAAAATATCCTTCTCTCTTCAGTGTTTATGTGGGAGAAGAGAGAACCGAAGATAAGATTGTCTTTTGAACTTCTTATACTGATTTGGACCTCACCACCACATTCTAAACCTGAAACCTTCACATGTGGGAAACTATGCTGTTGTTTTGCTTCCTCAAATGTTGCTTGGTACTGGCTGTCTTTCTGAGAACTTATAAGCAGTTGTTTCCCGAGAAATCATCTAAAAGAATTGTGGACTTCTAATCTCCAAACTTATATTATATGCTTTTCTCTGCAATCGAGTTAAGAGGTGAAATACAGGACCAACTTGTTTGGCATGACATTTATTTGTGTTATTCAAGTGAACTTTTAGTTACCGTTTCTTTTTGTTCTGCTTCTCAGATACCCTATGTACCTTTTTTTTTTGCAGGCCACCTTCACTGATATTCTAAAGCAACTAGGTAAGCTTTCAATATTTAATTTTACAATCTTTAAGCCATACAACAGGTAAGAATCCCCTGCACCTTTTCATTGTCTTTTTTTCTAGGATGGGGTTGGCGTAGACAAAGATTATAGGATGTTAGATTCTTTTTAGTGATTATGGCACCAATTTGACATGTGTGCAATTGTCCCTTTTTCAGTTACAGCGGCAATAGAATCTAAAAGTTTCTTGTTTTTTCTTAGTATTTCATACTGGTTGAAATTCTGAGACTCCTTACTGTTTCAGCCAAGCGATTCAATGTGGACCTGACGCCAAGAAAATCATCAATAAAGCTCATGATTCAGGCTGAGCTGACAAAACTAGCCGAAGAACAAGACGAAGAGGATGAAGGTGATGCTGAGAAGAATGTTGAACAATCATCTGGCCGAGGTGTACATGCCTGATGACCTAAGAAGAAAACTCGAAAGATGAAGCCTATCATGTCTGTAGCTCCATCGTCATAATTTATGTTGATCTTGCCACTGTAGTTATATAACCACACCTCCAAGTTAAGCCAGCTATAATTTGTGTTTATCTTGCCGCTGTAGTCTGTAGCTCTATAACCGCATCTCCGAGTTAAGGCAGCTGTAATTTGTTGTTAGTGTTATTAACTGGAAGCTTCTTGTTCCATAGAAATTCATCGAACTATAAATGCTGCACACTGTAGCTTGCTATGTACAATTATCACCTTGAATGGGTTATCGGCACTGACTGTAGAATTTTGTCTCCAAATACATGTATATGGTTTTGTGTTGATTTTAAATAGCTTGGAACATCAACTCTCTCTCACCCTCAATAGTTAATATGATCTCAAGGCAAAAAGCATTTGTAATCGATCTGTCTTGGAAATTTTGGTTTCTTAATGGAAATTTTGCGATTTCATTGAATTACACGTAGTTCCAATCAGTAAATAAATTTATGGTAATGAAGTCAACTCGTCTTTCGTCACTGCATTATTGTACGTACAGCCAAGACATGTACAGAAAATTTTTGCACATAGCCCATACAAGATACACAAATGCAGGTGTGGATAGATTATTTTTTGTAATATTTTAATTCACATGGGGTGATCCTATGTGAGTATCTGTAAGGTTCCTACGTATTATTTTTTTTGTACAACCAGCTTTTCTCTAGTGCGTAACCTGTCAGGGACGATAATCAAGGTAAAAGAAACAATAGATCGTAATTGAAAGAAGAGAAGGAAGGAGAAGAAAATTACAAAATTTGACTGTAATTTACTAATAATTCAACGCGATATAAAGTGTTGATTTTAATCGGATAAGATGTTCGATATAAAATCCGAAAAGAAGTGTTCTTACTTCTTACTTAAGTAGTGGATTAACTGTGAAAAGCTTAAGTGGAGCACTCATTACTAAATTAATTTACTCTTGAATAAAGACAAACCAACTTTTTAACGTGTTACAACCTACTAATCTTCGGTGGACCTAAGATTAGACCAGGCCACCTTCTAACCCTCATTTTTTTATTTTTCAATATTTTATCTGCTTTTTAATAAGATTTTTCGAAAAAAATCTATTTTTCACTTGAAAAAATTTCTCCCCAACAACCTCTAGAGTTAACATAATTTTTTTCAAAAAAAAACTTACTACATATATATCAAATTTTATAGGTTACATAATGTCACATGTCATTTTATTATTTGTCAATTTAAAATACAATTAATTTTTTTATTCAATATATCATTTTATGTAATTTTTTATGTGCTATTTTTATATACAAGAAGCATAGTCGACAGCGGCTTTCAAAAGTATCCCTAACAAGCTGTATAAAAATAAAAAGGCAGAAGAAGTCTTTGCAAGTCTGCCAAAATCTTGGACCAAGAGGGCTACGGTCTTGTCAATTGCAGTAGGTCAGGAGGTGGCCCGGCCCTTGTCTCTTTGCAATCACTCCATATCACAATTTTAAAGCGCGCCCGCCACCATACTTCATTATTATTGACCATTGAACTTTGCTACGATAATTTTCTGTATACACGATATTCTGCCATTGGATTGGAACCAATGCAATGTTGCCATCATAGCATCTATAACTTGTACAAGGTGATTCACTTTGTACAAGTAGTTTAATTCTTGACGATTCTATTCCTTCCATTAACCAAGCAATGCACAAAATATCACCAATTCTACTTTAAATTCTTCCATTAGTGGTTCGTTTGAAATATGCAAGCAACCTAAGCCATCAAGTGGGGGGGCGGGGGCGGGGGTTAAATGGTAAGCTCAAGAGGCGTGTCAATCCTACTTCGACTCCCAAGAAGTCGCAGCATAACGAGAACTATTATTACATACCCGAAATACTATTAAAATAAAAATTCCAAAATTCAATTTAAAAATCATATGATGTGTCACCAAGCACTAATTTCAAAAAGAAAGCATTTTAACAACCATACTCGATATACTAACTTCAATCACTTTGAACCTCAATATCCATGAACTGTAATTACACTAGTCTGATATGTTGTAACAGTTCTTAAACCCTGTTTGGCCCCCATTACGGGGAAAATTTAATGTATAGAATAGTGTTTTTTGAAAAATGAGTGGTTGAAAAAGAAAGAAAATTTTTCGATTTACGTGTAATATTATTTTATGGAAGATTGTGTGGTTGAAAATAGCAGAGAGAAAAATAGAATGTAATGTAATGTAATTTAATGAAAATCAAACAAGTGCTTAGTCGACTGTTTGATCATGTACAAGATCTGAGGTACAAGTTGCGACTCAATTTTCATAATTCTTTTATGCCCAAAACTAAGAAACTATAATCCCAAGTAACAAAAATCAATAGAAAAACAGCCAAGAACATCTACTTCATGTCAAAACCAAACTCAGAGATACACATATATAAACATGAAATATATTTCATATTTCAACATATACTACTATGTCACATCATTATCAAGAGAAATCAATACAACAGAAGCAAATCAAATTACCTTGGTCTTCCACTGGCAGTTGAAGACCCGGATCCGATATGGTAACCCGACCCAACTTTTCCGGAACCACTGCCACCCATCTGATTGTACCCGTAAACTTGTCCCTGCTGCATCTGATGCCCCATCATTCCATACATCCCCTCATAGCCACCCCCAGAAGTCCCCATATTTACCACACTGCCATTTCCCCCACCGCCGCCGCCTTCCTTCTCCCCTCTTCCAGCCATTGCACTCTTCTCCCCCTCCATATCACGAAACCTCTGCAAGTAAATCTTCAACGGCTCGACGTATTCCTCGAATCCTAAAGTGGTCATCGCCCAAAGTAAGTCATCGCCGTTGATTGTCTTCCTTTTCTCCCTCTGGCACTTATCGGACGCCTCTCCGGTGATGAAGCTGATGAACTCGGATACGCACTCTTGCACCGTTTCTTTTGCATCTTTCGATATCTTTGCGTTCGCGGGTAGTGCTTTTTTCATGATTCTGCTCACGTTGGCGATTGGGAGAAGCCTGTCTTGCTCTCTTGGGGAGGTCTCATTGTTATGCGAGTTGTGGTCTCTGTTTCCTCCCGATTCATTATCAGAATCCGCCATTTCTTTCTTCCAAGAACTCACACGATAGTGAAAATTGAGGCGCTGAAGAGTTTCTACTACTGTAAAACAGCAATTTTAGGTAGGATTCTCAGAATCTTGGTATAAATGAGCTGCCTAGATACCAAAGCTGCTTTGAACTCACAATCGTAAGGTTTATATTGATCATTCACAGGGTTTGATACCAGAAAGGATGTTAAATTCCACAGATATTGGAAAAATATCAAAAAATTTGGACCAAAATAAAATATAAAAAAAGCGGATGAAGCTCAAAAACTTTGGTTTACATATTCAATCATAAACTCTTTCATTCCTAACAGAAAAAATATAAAACAAAAACTTCACAGATATAAACTACACAAATCGTTACGAAATTCAGAAGTAAAATCGGTGGAAATACTTAAAATAATCTACGAAAAATGAAAATTCAGAAGCAAATTTCTCCGGCTAATTCGAAAATAACGTAATTCCACAGAGAACTTTTTTAGAGAGGGAGAGTGAAGAGGAATTCGGCGTGGAGAGAATGCGAGGTCCGTTGGATCAAATGCTTCAATAATGAGATCTTAGAGTACACGTGGACGCAACTGAACCGCTGGTTTGTCGATAACAATAGGACGAGTTTCCCATCTCACGATCGATCGTGAGTGGAGTAATCTGCACCATTGATTTCACATCTGGTACGTGTGTGGCTGTTAATGGATTTCTATTTACCCAATGGGAATTGGCATCATTGCTTACGTGGGCCGCTCTTCATTTCTTTCGTCAACCCTAATTTTCATTTTTCTTTTAATTTTTTAGAGTAATACTATGGCGAGTAGTGCAAATCGCTAGTTGGCATCAATTAAATGATTTTTTAAATTAATAATTATTTTTTGCTTATAATTTTTACAAAATGGAATTTCCATATTTAATAGATAATTTGTTTAATTACTTTTTTCGCCTAGTATTTGCTTGTTTTAACTCCACTTACGTTTCTATAATATGGTAGATCCAAAATTCGATAGGTTGACAATCAGCATAAATCTTCTCTAACCTTGTAACATGAATCACGAAATATAATTTGTTCTAGCGTTTTCTCGTATTGACACATCTCTTAGATTTTAAATTTTTTTTAACATATTATTAATAGAATATTGATGAAGCATCACCTATCAGTCCTCCAGTTTGGTACACATTAATGTAAAAATGAGAATGAAAAATATAGTCGTTATGAATCCCACACAAGACATAAAAAGTCAAATATAGTGGTTTGATGTGATGGATAACGATCATATTTTTCATTTTAATAGGCACATAATGAGAAAAAAACGAGGTCTAAATTTGTAAAATAAAGAAAAATATATAGCCATAGGCAAGGCAAGTCAAATGATTAATATACAAATGTAATATGGTAATATGGCCAACCGACTTAGCAACCGTAATACTGTCTCACTTTCATAGAAACTTTCTTTTTCTTTTAATGAGAGTGAAAGTGATTTAACTGTTGTAAAGTTCTTATTCAAAAGTAGTTTTTTCCCCCTTCTTGTAAAGTTCTTATTCAAAAGTGATTTTTTCTTTTTTTTTTTTTATTCTTGTAACATTCTTAGTCTATAAGAAACTTAAAAGTTGAGTTGATGGTTTTTTTAGTTAAAGAATAAATTCTTTTGTAAAAAATTAGATATTCCTTTCTTTATCTTTTCCTTTAAGGGATAATTGATGTTTTTGAATATACGAAAATAATTTTTTTCAAAAGTCTAAAGAAATAGTCTTTTATTTGATTAGCTATATTTAAATCACTTTCTTCAAAATGAATGACGCATGTTCTTATCTTTTTGTTACAACTTATAAGTATGATGAATACATCGAAATACCATTCACTTTTAAAACGATATGAAAGAAGAGTGTCTGACTCAGCCCACTAACAAAATTTTGATTATGCGATAAAATCAATAGAGCGAGTCGTCTACACGTAGAAAGCCTTGTTGTTTCAAAGTCATGCAGAATAGTATCAGCATTTTCTTCATCAGAGATTATTCACAAGTCAAACTGAGGAAATATATATAATGGAGACATAATCATAATTTGGATGAAAGGTAAAGTTTCTTGTTCTCATTTTCGTTTTACTGTGTACTATATAGCTGGTCCAACAACTGGTTATAATAAAATTCCCAATTTTGGCACATACTGGAACTAGAATTGTCAATTGGATGAGCGAGCCCAGTCCAGCCAAATAAAAGACGGGGAGTAACGTACTGGACATAAGCGCTCCTTTGTTGACGACTGTGTATCTTCTACCTTGTATATGATGGATTCTCAGTCATTTTTTTACTCACCATTGACAGATTTTTTAAGATGACTCGTTCAAATACCCTTTTACAATCAGGTCACACTAACATCAAGTTTGACATAATATTATTATTACGTCACATTTCATCATTGAACAATTTAAAACACAATCAACTTTTTCATCCAATTATTTACTGCCGCATACAATTATATCAAGCTTTTTATCAAATTATTCTTTCAAAGTGACTTTATCCACCTTTTTAAGTAGAATAATAATTAGTCAGATTAAATAGGGATATTTCAACTTTTTGAAAAAAGTGGGTAAATGTGCAAATTTTCCCATATTGAGAAGCCAGAAAAAGCAGGTCGAGAGTAACCTAGGCTAGCCAATTTCAACACCACTATTGGCTCGTTTGACATGACTTTTACTTCCTACAGAAAAACTTTTAAAAGAAGCTACCTTAATTTTTGTTAGGAAACAAATATTTGAAAGGACTTCTTAAGTGTTTAGAAGAAATTACATTGGACAACTTCCTCTAAAAGCTCTTCTAAATTATAAAAAAACTTTCATGATATTAGCCAAACGAGTCCATTCGACTTTTCAGGTGATGACTACATACAAGTACAAAGCACATGATGCAAAATGAACGTTATCCCCTGGTAAATTACTGAAAAAAGATTGATCTGTTTGAAATATATACATGAGATTTAGACATACAATTCGTGGGTTAAATTAACCACGTTATTGTATAGTTAGCAAATTACATAATCATCACATAAATTGGCATGTTTAACACAGTAAGCCTAACAAAAGGAGGAGGTAAAATTACAAAAAAAAGTCAAACAGAAAAGGCGGTACATACTAAACATCCCGCATCTTCATTCCTAATCCATTCAAATAGCAACATTGTAAATTATCCTCCTGATCTCAACACTAAAGTACTTCAAGTCATGATTATCATCCACAACATCATATTGTTCAAGTGACATTATGATAAAAGGTAAATGAAGTGTTCGAATACTCAAATAAAAGGTTCAACTAACAATGCAATCTTGGCTAAGAGGTTTCACCATGTCATATCATCTTCCAGACTAGAGCTTTGCCATTCATACAGACTTCCAGAACAGCTTCAGAATCGTATCCTTCCATCTAAAAATTGAAAGAAAAAAGTGATAAATGTCAATAACTCAATTAAGCCACGTTTGGACAGAATTTATAAACTGTTTATAATCTATTAAAAGATAGAAATGAGTGGTGAATAAAAGGATATTAATTGTGGTTGAAAATAAAGTTAGACCATTTATAATGATATATTAATTTTGACAAAAAAAGGCTAAATGTAAAGTAGTAACAAATTACCACTTCTCCCTTGAAATATAGTGGTTCTAAAAGTAGCGTACTTCATATTATGTAAATCTTCTCAATAGCTTTTGCCTTTTTCCTGGTGGTGGGGCGAAGGAATAATAAACAAAAGATTCCCAAATGAAAATCCCGCTGAAATTAAGTGGCATTAAGAGAAGAAATTGTGCTTCAGTTACACCACACATTGTTAATTTTGAAATCATGTCATTCCATCCTAGTTTAAACTGAAGCCAGATCTTATCCTTTCCCTTGGGTATCTTCGGTTCAATGAAAGAGGATGCCAAGAGAGAGGGGAAAGGAATGGAGATGTATACTCCACAAGTGAAAAGTAAGGAAGTAATTTGCCAGTAACTTGTCCTTTGTATTTTCATACCTTCTTCCAGCTACACCATGCTCAAACACACTTTTACTGGTGTATTATTCCACTGCCTTGTTTGTTGAAAGAAAAGAGTTGGCGTAGGGGAACGGAAGGGAAGGAGAAGAGAAATTGAGGACGAGTTTAACATTTTTATTTAACCTTCTGTCATACCCTGGTTTCCAACTATATATACTAATTGAGGTTAATTTAGCCTTTGTTTGGCCCCCAATTTCTAAAACTCATTTTTCCTCAGCTCATTTTCAACCACACATTTCATAGGATCCACAACTTTTTTTCAACTTTTCAACCACATATTTCATCTACTTTTATCAAAATCTATTAAAAATCAGACCTTTAGCTAAACCAAATAGGGGCTTAGTATTATTTAGTCCAATCACTTCAATTTGGAAGCTCCACTTCTCTGTCACTCCCTCTTCTATTACTTACCAGACAAACTATATGTGGTTCACTTTCACTTCCCTTCCTAATACTAGTCCAACCAAACATGCTGCTCTCAAGGCCTTTGCACTGGAGGAGGGGACACCTATGGACTGAAATGTAAGGGTGTTTGACAGGGATTAAAATTAAATTTTTTAGTAGATTGTGATATAAGTTTTTGAAATGTGTAGTTGAAAAGTTGTGGGATCCTTGAAAGATGTGGTTAATATTGATTGTTTAACGTTGACTTAGATTAAAATAAGATTTTAATCCGTACCAAACGGGCTCTATGTATTGTATGCTTTTTATGAGCTTCTGGAGTGCAAATAAAAGAGGAGAGAGATTTCACTTAATCCTATCAACTACATATCATTTTATGAGTCATCCACTTTTAAGGTGTCTCAATGGTGAACAGATATTCGTCTTCTAAAGTTCTGTGTGTGAGTAACATGCGTTCAACTTAACAAGAGAATTAGAAGATGCACGAAAGTGCACAGCCAATAAAATTACTAAATATATATAGCACACAATCAAACCACTACACCTATCTCAGTAACCATGACAGATCAACACCAATGATAGAATAAATAATCATGGGCAGCTAATAATATACAAAAGGATACCTCCCAATTTTTGAGTAAGCTCCATAGGGGATTAGTTGCATTTGTACTATGCTCAGGCTAAAATGCAATTTCCTCCCCGTTTAACACATGATTTCTGAAGAAAGAAATGAATATACATGCTACACTAAGAGTAGAAAGAACACAGGATATTTCCAACATGATTTACTTTACAAGGACAGAAGTTATACAACAAAATTTTAATTAGTGCAGCGCAAAAATTTCCAAACTGGTACACAAGCCTTTAATTGGATAAGAATTGTCAAGACTTTATAGACTTCAAACTATAAGCAACCAATTACATAAATGCTAATGATGTGCATTCACCAAATTACAGAAATGGCCAAAGAGGAAGGACAGTAATGATGAACAGATTTTCTAGCGGTAAGGCTCCAACATCATGTGCAAAACATCACATTTTGCAAGATATTGAACTTTAAAAATAAAGTTCATATGGATAGGTCACATTTTTGTTTTTGGCCATACAGTGGGATTTGGTTTTCATGTCTATTTTTCCGGAGTAGGGTGAGGGAAGGGTCTATTAAAATTACAATATCAAATAAGGACAGAAACAAATCCATCATTTCTGTTTTTAAAGGTAGACATCTATGTTTGATTATGCAAGGCTATGGCTTTCTCACAGTAGTAATAAAAATAGAATATCTTCCTATTTAATCAAGGCATACGTGCAAAACCGAAGTTTACTGCCAAAGAGTTAAAATTATTGTATGTAAGACATAAAACAGATGCGTGGAATGAAACAACTCACTTGATTCATGTGCTGATAAAAACCATAATCCTTCAGAAGGAGCCAACAAAGATTTCACAACATAGGAACCACGGAAGTTGTTGAAGAGCATGACTGTTCACTGTCAACCTAAGCCAGGCATCCAACAAAGCAGCTAGTAAAAGATTCTGAATGATCATGGTCTACCAAAGTTTACCTAGTGACTAATCAGTTTCTTTCTGAACTACAATACTGAGAGATGCAGTGAACACCTAATTACTCAGAGGTTAGGCGTCGCCTCTTCCCATATTCAGCATCCCTTGATCTTGACCTATGCTCGTCCTCATGTGATTGTCTTGATTTTCCGTGAGTCCTGGATGATCTTACCCTGTCCCATTCGTCATCGTATTCAGGCTCACGGTCCCTGTACCTATGATGATCAGCATATCCAACTCTGTCATCCCGATGGCGATCATGGTCACGTTCCCTCCCACGATCACGCTCGCGGCCTCGGGAATGACCAGGATCTCGGTCCCGGTCCCTCTCCCTGTCTCGTCCACCAACACTGCCATCGCGATGCCTCCTTTCTGACCACTCATGATCATGCCCCGTATCTTTTTCTCGAGGCATATCTCTGTCATGGCCTGGTTCTCTATCATCTCGATACCTCCTGTCTGAAGAGCCAGACCTATCCCTTTCTGAACCTCTGTCCTTCTCTTTCGTAGCATTTGTCCAAGGCCCTTTATCATGACTTCCTTCTCCATACTGATGGTCAGATGCAGCTTCTTCTCCATAACTAGACTCTCCTGCTCTCCCACCATGCTCCCCACCTGTCCATCCACCCATGTTAGGATCTGACCACGTGCCCATATTAGGCCCATCAAATCCAGGAGCATGCATCATGCCCATGCTATTCATGGGCATCCCTCTCCCAAAAAATGCTGGATTCACGTGGGGAGCAACACCAGGCAAACCAACATTTCCAACAGGTCCAAATGAAGATAACATTCCTGAAAAGGGTGGGGTAGGCGCACCAGGAAATCCTCCATAACTACCCATTCGCCCCATGGGGGCTCCAAAAGCAGGATCGAATCCCTGACCCATCATTGTTTGAGGATGTAATAATGAAGGAGTTGCACCAATCCCCTGCGCAAATCCATTACCGTTTCCCATTAAACCACGACCACCTATTCCACCACCCCTGTTCCTCATTGGACCCACAGGCCCCCTATTTCCCATACCTCCTTGACCATTACCTCTACCCCAACTCCCTCTCCCAAAACCTCTGTGACCATCACCACCGCCTTGATAGTTCCCACTCATAGCCATGTTGCCACCTCCGCCATGTTTACCAGGCACATCTCCAGGCCCCCTTCGCGGTTGATTAACCGCTGGCTGGGCTGCATTTTGGTTTCTATTCAACTGAGCTTCACCCATTTTCTTAATACTATAGGGCGAAGCATATGCAACTACACATGGCCGTCCATTAAACAAATGCCCATTCATTCCTTCTTTACAGGCAGTGGCACTATCAGGGTTAAAAAATTCCACCTGACAGTAACCTTTTGACTTCCCACTAGCTTTCTCATCAAAAAACTTTACCTCCTTTACTGGCCCATACTTGCTTAGCTCTTCCTCCAGCTCAGCATCAGTTGTCCACCAATGCAAATCACCAACAAAAAGAATTGTTCCTCCACCACCACCACCTGTCATGCTGCCAACACCACTTCCAGGCATGTAACCTCCGGTCCCTGTCACATTCGCCACAATTCCAACATTTGCTGGGCTTGCTGCAGCTCCGATATTAGCAGCACGTGGCTGCTGATGCTGAACCATTGGTGGATTATTTTGAGCACTGTTATTCACAGTCTGCTCTACGAACTCGGCTGGTTTATTGGATGACTGCTTTAGCTCAACCCTGAGCCCCCCAACACATGGCATCCCGGATTCATTTCTAGCCGTCACTCCGAAACCTCTACCAGCCCCAATCTCATTACTGATGTCATTTCCCCTAAACCCTATATTCTGATGAGCCTCTACTCCAACAGGAACCCTTGCCGACTCTCCCTCGTCTTGTATAGCCCCACCCGCACTCCTCACTACCGGCTGTGGTGCTTGACGCAGAGGAGGAACCGGCTCGGCTTTGTTCTCCGATAATTGCTCATTTCCCTGACCTAGATTATCCTCGTTCTTTCTGATCGACTGGAGGAAGTTCTCACCAATATTGACATCATTATACAGATCTTCGTAGTCATCTTCCTCTTCGCCAAGGAAACCCTCGTCAGCTACAGCGGAGATGGCTTCGTTCCGATGAAACTGCTCGCCAGCTTCATTTTCATCCATTTCTCCGCTGAAAGCCTAGAATTAAGCCTAGGGTTTTTCCTATTTTGGCAAATTTATTTCTATTTGAAAGTGGGTCCGCGGAACAATCTCAAAGTCTTCATAAATAATCGAGGAAAGCAAAGAAATTTCTAGATCGGTTTTAAGAGATCTTACCGCAAAACTTGCCCTCTTTGATTAGGCGTGTTGAGCGAGAAGAAACCCTATCCCAGAACAGTGTATGGTGAGCCACTTTTAACCATTTCAGCTTAGGTGCCTGCATTTACCCTCAAGAAGAATTTGAATAGGGGCGAGCCCAGCAGACCAGTGTGAAGCCTGTGCTTGATAGAGACTATTTACGAAAAACAATGGTTTGAATAATGATTTTTTGAAAATATATTATTCTATTAGTGATGCGTGTGATCGTGAACTGTGGATTTATGTACTTATTTGGTAGGAATTTTGTTAATTGATTTTTTGATCGTTAGAAATAAAGTGATTCTACTTGTGAGAAAAGAATTCAAAAATGATAGTTATAATAGTGAAATAAAGGCCAAAAAATTGATGCTAATTGGATTAAAATTCCAACCAAACATGCTCTATGATTTTCTTACCCTTCAAAAAAAAAAAAAAACCACTTACGACATCTTTAATTAAAAGATTATAAACCGTTCAAATTATAAAATAATAGAAATGAGTGATGAATAAATAGATAATACTCGTGAAATTTTTGAATTTTGTGAATAAAAATGACTATCGTATTTATAAACAGTGTAGAACACATGAGCCAAATATAGTTTAAATTTCTTTCTTATTTCCTCATATATATACAACAAACAAGTTACATGTACACTATATTTTAAAGTAAGTTTGACATTCTTATGAGGTGATATTTTTTGAGACATTGATTTTCACCGTGGATACCAAGTGTGTACACCTACTTTAATCCTATCTTCATACCGCATTCGAGTTCACAATATTATACTTGTACAAGTTGCCACGCATTTTCTATAATGTGATTTATATCGCAAGTGTATAGTGTCAAGTTTTATAATAAAGTAAAAGAGTTAAGAGTGTCGAACCCACATGGATTGTAATTCAATTTCCACCAAGTACTATAATTATGTAGCTTTCACTTTATCTAGATGAATGAAATTTGGAATCAATGGTTGTAAACTAAATTAACGTGATGAATGTGGTGACAAATTCAACAAATAAATGCAAGTTATAAGAATAATCAAGATGAGAAAGTCTAGGGTTGTGATTTCATCTCACCATTAAATATGATTTTCAAAAGTTTAGTTATCTCTAATTAATTTTCTATGTTTATAAGCAACAACCCAAATGTACTTCTATCCCCTCTCTAGAGCTTAGAATTTAATTCCAATATCTCTATTCCAAATTAAAATCAAGAATTTATCAAAATTCTGGTTCTTTTGTGGAGTAAGCATCATAGATCTTATACTTTCTCTTGAAACTTATAAAATCTATATTGTGTTAATCTTATGATCATGCCTAAATTCCCCTTTCTCGAGTGCCGAAATTGACTAGCATTTACTCATTCAATTAGTGGCCAATTAATCAAAAGTATTAAAATCATAACACAAATAAACATATGTGGATAATCAAATAGAAATAACTAAAATTAATTAATCCATATCCTTAAGTTTTGGTTACAATCAAACCCCTAGATTAAATTTTTAGTTTATGATGAAAGAATTAAATCTAAACATGTTGATGAATAACATAAAGATGAAAGGAAAGAAAAACTCTTTTGAAACTTTTTATTGGAATTCCCCTTAATGTTCTTCATGCCTTCTTGCTTGATTCATTGATGTTAGCCTTCTTACCCTTGATGAATTGTGTATTGAATTGTCTTCAATCTTACCACCTTCAATTGTTAGAGAAAATAGGTCTTTTGAATGGTATTTATAGTATCTTGAAGTTTTTGGACGAATTAAGGTTGAATTGGCTAAAAAAAGAGTCCAAAAAAAAAAAATCCTTTTCCTGCATAGCCGTGCCTCAGCGCTGAGAATTCTGCTAGTTTTCAGTACGGAGCGCTCGGTTTGGGTAAAAACCCAGACTACGCATCTTTCAGTAATTTTATCATAATTTTCTCGTCCAATGTTCGATTGAGGTGATTCAAAACTTTTTAAAAAGCTAACTCAAAAAGCTACAAGTTTACTTCAGACATCATTCTCCAATTCGATCGTTTGTTATGGAAAAGTGGGTCCCAACATGAGACAAAAACTCCTTAGCATAACTTTCCGGTTGAAAATTGATTTGTGATCATATTTTGACTAAATTTGATCCCTTTGACATCTTTTTTCGTCCAATTGACTCTTAACACTCTCGGATCTTCATTGCGAAGTTCGACACAACTTTTGATTAATTGCATTTTAATTTCCAAACTTTGGATCTTTTACAATTTGGTTCATTCTCTCCAATTTTGCCAACTTTTGAATATTTTCTTCAATTTCATGAACCTATATCACAATATTAAAATACACATTAAAACGTTATAAAACACTCTCAAGGATAAAAAAAAAATAATGAATTAAGTGACATAAATATTATGAGAGTAGAGCACTCATCACATGTACTAATGGCGCTTCTCTCAGTTTTCTCTTGCAGATGAAAAATATTTAAATTGGAATCTCAGGGTAGAAAGTGTGCATGGGAAGAAAGCTTCATTTCCTTTTGTTGAATCTATCGAGGTAAGTTCATGACTTACTCTGCATATATGTTATTCCCCTCTTAATTGGATACATGTGGAAACGAATGAGAAAAACGCGGTATTTTTTTTGGCTTCATTTTAATGAAGTTTTGAGAAAAATATATTTTGAAATAATAAATTTTTTGAAAATGTGTTGGTTAAAAAAGTAAAAAGTTTTGAGTTTACATATGATATTATTTTATTGAATAATGTATGATTGAAAAAAAAAAAGAATATGGTAGTGAGCGTCTGTAAATAATATTACTCTTTTTTAAGTAATGCTATTTGTAACTACTCACTACTGCAGTCATCCTACATAAAATACATGTGGCAGTTACTGATTTGACATATTAATGTGGTAGTTTTTTTATTATATTATACATTAAATCACTAACCGTCACATGCATGTCATGTGGAGTAACTACGATAATGAAAGACTGCAATTAACATTTTTTTTAATGGTCTCACAAGAACTAATAGGGATTGTTAAAGAAAAATGAATTATTGTGATTTTTGGGGTTGGATTTTTTTGCTTTTAATAGCGAGCACAATTTGGGGTTGTCAGTGAACTTTTTGTACATCCTTTATTTAGGTCTTCTTCTCTGAGAGTAAACATGAAGGCAGCAGTTGTAGACAAGCAACCGCTTGATCTAAAAAGGTACATCGTACTTTTATGTGATGTTTGTTGGATATTGGTTAAATAAATCGAGAATTGAAAATCGATTAAAGTGATTTCGTATCAACTTCGGCCAAATACTCAAAAGCTCGACTCAATCCGTTTAGGCAAAATTGTTTACCACTTCCCCGCTTCGAGGCGCACAAACGGGGATCGACCTGCCCGGTCAGGTTGCGGGGGTTGTGGGGGCTCGGGGGCAACGCCTCCGAAAGAGAATTTTGATTTCTCTGCATGTATTAAAGGGTATATTTGGCATTTCGAAAACTAATATCGGATGAATGAGAAATTACGAAAAAGGACGAAAATCAGTGAATAGACACCTTTTCATAAAGGTGTATTGTTTGGAAAGGGTGCATGGTTTGGCCTCAACCATTAGTGAATAGACACCTTTTCATAAAGGTGCATTGTTTGGAAAGGGTGCATGGTTTGGCCTCAACCATTTCGTCCATACCCTTTCATGGTCTATAAATAGGACCCTTTGGGTGTCCTATTCCTCACAATTTTGATATGCAAAACATCTCTCATCCTCTCGTCTATCCAAAATCAAAATCATTTCATTTATTTTGATTTTCCTTCATTTCATCCTTGGAGTACAAAAGCCTAAATTTGGTTCGTTGTACTTGTGTTTTGAAGTGCTACAAACACAAGGGTAGCTGTTGTATCTTGGGAGTCGATTGTCGAAATCCGTAGGCACCGTTGCGGGGCAAATTCGACTTAAGGACAAAGAGTCCAACTCTTGCCTCGACTTTGTCCCTATTTTCTTCTTCTTCTTGTTTGTGTTTTCTTTACCGTTACTCTGTCCAATTTTCGGCATTGATTTACAAATCATCATTATACTTATTTTGGCGTCACTATTCACAAAATTCCTCCAACAATGTTTAATGAACTTCGCCAGCTGAAACCTTTCTTCCCAGCTGAAGTGTAAAAATATATCAAAGTTTGTAATTGTTTCAAAATAGCGTTAAGTCTATATAGAGCATTAAAATCTAAAATTTAAATAAATAGGTTCTTTTATCTGAAAGTATAAGCTTTTAGATGGGGTGGTTTAACATAATATCGGTCAGCAACGATCCAGATTCTAGTCTCGCTTCGTATGTAATCTTATATGTCAGGCCTAATTCGAGCCTACACGTGAGGAGTGGGGAATCATTGTCTCTTGAACTCGCACCAGTGCTTGTGGTTCAGTGCCTTATGACAAGCGCTAGTTAAGAACTAATTGATTTTGTTGTAGCATTTGTTATTTTCAACTGATATCGTGATAGCATCATATGCAGGTTTCAACAGAATGCTTTAAGGAAGATAAGGATACCGTACTTCGAAAATGAAGAGATAAAGCCATCGAGGATCCACAATGTGGGAGACAGCAGTTGTCGAGAGGAAAGCTGTTTTAGTACCCAAAAGTGATGTCGTGGTCAATGTGACAAAGGGGTATCTGGTAAGCTATAAGCACGATAATACACACAGAAGGTGATTCAATTCTGGTAGAATTTCGTAAATTCATAGAAAGTTTTTCGTTCTTTTTCTTCTCCCGATTTGTACGAGCAGATGGTAAAGTGCATGGACTGAATATTTTGTACCCTCAGTTTGCTAGATGATAAGAACCTGAAAAATCAGCAACAATGACAAGACTGTAGTTTAAGAATTCCAGAAACCAAATGAGAAACGTTAGTTTTCAAAGTATGTTGACGACAATTGTTTGTGTTTACGACATGATCATCAACACATTAACATAGACTTGCAGGAGAAACTAATGTTGGTTTTGAACATACTGAAGGTTTAAAGACATTAGGTCCGTGGACTTTGGATCTCCAGGTTCTTGACTGACTTTTCATGGACCAACCTTGAGTGGAAATCTTGGTCAGTTTATGTATCTAATAGATGGGTGGGATCCAGGTGACTACTACTACTAGTCATTAAGGGTCACTGACTCACCCACTGTGGACGAATCTTGTGGCT